TTCAAAAGTTTGGAAGATAACTTCTTGTCTTTATCAGCAGATGTACAAGCAAAAAAGATCTCCAACATTCAAGTAGCAATTCACCACAAGTGAAAACTGTTCAGGTACAGAGACAATATCCTGATTATTGGCTGAAATGACTGGGCCAATTGCAATGAAAATTTCCGTACTTGGATCCCTGAGAACCTTTCAGCCACTGATCAGAAATTTGTTTGCATACACCAGTGCAATATGCTGGCTTAGTACTTACTATTTCAATAGTCAGAGTCTACTCCAAAGACAAGTTTCACTGATATTGATGCAAGTGACACTGATACTGTGGTGAATGATGAGAATACCCCTCCAAATGATCAGGCTATATATCCACAGGACAATATTGATCCATTACTTACTGATGACGAGGTCTGACAGCTGTTGCTGTTGCTGTTGCTGGTACTGGATTTCTCATGTTGTCATTCCTGCTTGTGTCAATACATGATTTCCTGGTGTGCTGCTATTTTTGCTACTGTTGCAGGTGCTGAATTTCTCTTATTATTTTCATTTCTGCTTGTATCAACACATAATCTGCTGGTTATATTGCCGTTGCTGCTGCTGTTGCTGGTATTCAATTTGTTTCATTGTTATTCCTACCTATGTTGATGTATATTCCACATGTATTATAGTTGATACTGTTGTTTATGTAGATGTTGCTTCTATTGCTGGTGTTGAATGTCTCAGGTCATTGCTCATATTGATGCATAATCTGCTGTTTATTTTACGGATGCTGCTGCTGCAGTTTCCATATTATTGCATTTTCTGTTAATATCAATGAATAATCTGCATGGTATTGTCGTTACTATTCTTGGAAGGATTTTACTGGAGTTAAATTAAATTTAAGTATTTGAATTTTGGCAATTTTGAGAACAATTATATCATGAAAAACTAAAGCTTCAATGGAGTAGAAGCTATGTATTATAATGAGGAGCACAAGCACTTCAAGAACTATTAGTTTGGTATTTACATTGGAATCACCAAGCTTGTATTAGGGGTTTTCACTTAGCATATGTATATAGTACGACAGTCTAACAAAACCCAGGCTCACCCCACCAGATCAAGGTTGTGTCGTTGGAAATTACACTGCTCAGAGTACTGCTTTGAAGTCAGTGGGGGACTCAATATAGCTCAGCGGAAAGGCCAGCAAATACCCTAAGCTCCAATACCTGGCCTTGATGAGGGCTTGCAATCCCTTGTAGAGACAGTATATTCTTTTATTCAAACAGTTATCAGGTTTACCACCAATTGAGCTGGCAAAGACATAGTATATCATGATGAAGATATGAGCCCCAATATCATCCACAGAGCCCCCTAGATCTACCCATATAGCCGAGGCTGCATGATTCCATGGTGGGGATTTTTGGGTCAACTGTACACCAGGTGTTGGACCAAAGCTATCTACATCATAGTACATTGTGGAACAAATCAGTCATTTGGCATTTATGGTGCCTTCTGATTTAGTTGGGCAGACATTACTAGCCATGTAAGAGGGACTTTGCTATTCCTAGAGATGATATCAATGAGTTTAAGCTTCCTGTGCCCTGGTAGTTGGTTCTACCTACCAAATAGGTATCTGGGACTAGATATCAGCCCCCAGCGGTTTTGCACTTTAGCAGATTACCCAAGGAAACACACTGGCCACATCAGGGAAAACACGTAAGAACACTAGTTATGTGGCAAGCTTTCAGCTGGTCACCCACTCAACGCTTGAGGGAATTACATTTCTGTCATTCACTACTCCACTCAACATTGAGAAAACATTACCAATTTGAAGTTGTGGTCTGACATTTGCATTAGCAACATCACCAGAATTCTGTGTGTGCTGTATGGCATATACAAACTGCTGGTGCTGAAGAAAATTACTTATTCATTGCTATCGCACAATGGTAGCAAAATCAGCAGGAGCAAGATAATCATTTAGGAGGCTTGATGATGCTCTAGCATATATATTGTCAAAAGGAAATTTCTATTTTGCTATCAAAATTGGTATTGATGACTTTTAAAATAATAAAAGTTGATGTCAAATGAGCTCCAGTATCACTGAATGAGCCCCCATATTTTAAAGGATGGTACAGATGTGCATTTGTTATACGTGCAATGAGAAGTACAATCAAGTCTTACTTATATGCCTCTGAATAGAAATAGTCATTTGGCTGCTCTTGTGTACAAAACCACCTTTGCCTCCGGTAGAATACAGGGCAAGCGCTAGCAGCAATCCACATTCAGAAACAAACACAGTAGGCAACGGATCTGAAATATTATCATGTTTTTACCTTAAAAATATGACCTTTTATATCCCAATACACTACAGACAATATTTACATACTTATGATCTATTATCCACAACAACAATGTTGAACCAAAAGTTATCAAAATTCTTTGATTGCTTTTCTTCAATATTAAGAACTAGTACAGGAGTATCTTTACTTTCTCGAAAGTGGAAAACTCACTTCACAGATATCCTTTGTCAAAGACTCTGAAGTTCACTTACAAGACACCTACAACTATTGAAGATAGTGGCTATACTTTGAAAATGCCCATCTATGTGCACCGCTTGACTTGTATGGGATGAACCACTATCGAAATAGATATTTGTGGATACATTCTAGTTATGAAGCAACAATTGTACTGACAGTGAATATAGTTTTACCAGTCAGGATCAACCAAAGTATCTCCATATCATGTTATACAGTATGACAATATTGTTATTGTGGTTGAGACCAGCAAGAATAGAGATGTCACATGTTGAACATGAACTTCAGAATTGCAATCCCAATTACAAGAAGTTAATAGTGTTGGCAATGGTTGATGAATACTTCATAACAAGTAACCCAATCTTTTGTATAAGTAGTATTTTCAATTGGGAATAGACAAGGATGGTTGTGTTATTGGAGATATTTGGTGTTGTTAATCAGTTGGTGAATGCTTGATAAAGAGTTGCAAAAAATTGTATCAATGAAAGCAAGTTCATGAAGATGTAATGAACTCATTAGGAATACTTGACAATATGTGTAATCAAGTGTATTACTTACTCTATGTTTTTAAACCCAAATTCAAAACATTCATTGTCAAGCTCAATAATGTCAGAGAGCTCAGCAATGTACTTTTTATATATTCCAATGTATTCACTTCAGTAATTCCAAATTTCAAGACTTTTGTCTTATGTGCATATTTGCCACTACAGATGTTTGTTTGGCTTTTATAACCCCTAGAACGTGGAGTTTTGAAATCTTGACAGTTAGGCCACCTGTCATGGATACCAGAATTGGAAAGCTGATAAAGAATCAGGAGATGGTAGGTTCACTGATGAAATGTCAATCAAGGTTGGGGGAACCTTTGGAGTGTACATAGTTTAGCAAGACAAGATTGAATACTGGCATAATGACTATATGGGTGCAAAGAAGATACAGAGTTTACAAGTAATGTACTGGAGAATGATTGGCTGGAAATTCAAAGATTCCTTCTATGTGTGGGTGCTTGAAACAAAGCAAGAGAAGGAAGCTACTATATGGGAAATTGCAAAGCTGAATAAAACAATTATTAATAAGGTTGACTATTTCAATACTGAATACAAAATAACTGAGAAATGGCAGCAGCTCAGACAATGTAAATTAGAAGCTTCAGTATAACAATACACGGCAGAAAAGAATGTTGCACTAAAAGCCAGAATTTCACAGAAATACCAGCCCAAAAAGTTCAAAATTAAACAGCTGAAGTGTGGAAATAAAAAGGGTGATGATTGATGGCAATCTGTCAAGCATGTTGTATGGCCTCTCCTTTAGCCTGCATGCAAAAACTGTCAAGAGAATAACCCAAGCTAATCTCATGGAAGATAATACCCCATCCCATGATTCCAACTTTACAAACAACCAGTAGCAGAAAGAAAGAATTCCAAAACTTGATTGGCTATCGAACTTATCTGATTTCAATCCCATTGTACATATTTGCACCTGGATTACAAGTCTTATACCAAAGTGCAGGGGCTCTGAAACAATTATGACTATATTTGAAATAAAGTTGGTCCTGCTAGAAGAGTGGGAACAGATTACAATTCAAGAGTTTAATACTGAGATTGCAAAACTGCCAGTAATTATACAGTGTGGCATTAATGCCAGTGGTGGCAATAACTACCATGCCTAGTTTCCTTCATTTCTTTCCATTCCTTTTGTTTCTATACAGTTTTGTTCTTTCTGTTTGTGCAGTATTTTTCTGAATACAGTGGGTTTGCTTTTTTGCTTTGCAGTACAGCTTGGTTTTATAAAACTTTTGCAATTCTATGGCGGATCAAACGCACATAATGCCAATGCATTCTCCTGTGTCAGAAGCACAATTGATGCCTTTGTATGTGTCTTTTGGACAAATATTGACAAAGTTAGATATGTGGTATGGGATTGCATTTCCATCAGTAAGTGGTTTTGACAAAAATACAATCCCATTCCCCATATCCAACATTGCCAATTCTGCTCAGAACAAGGCTGATGTAGGGTCAAATTAACACTAAATGTCTAGCAAATTATATATGATTTGTTATGTTCTGTGGAAACCAAATTTACAATAGTTACAGCCTGATATATGAAGTGCCACACATTCCTAAACTGATGCAAACCCAATAATGCCCATGAGTGTTTTTTGACACTTGCATCGAGTTCTGCAGTGTCCCAGCATCGATTTTGTTCTATTCGCATGTGATGCTGACCATAATTGCAGAAGTTAGAGGTACCATTTCATATTGCATTTAATCTTGCGGCCCCATCTCCAAGCACCAGTGTGGGGTTAGGGTTCTTTGCTTTTCCGAGGACATGAAAATCTGACGAGTAGGGAAGACTCGAGTACACATGAAAGACTACTTTAGCACATATGCTCGAGAGTCTCAGCGTTAACTCCTGACACGGAGATACACCCAGAATCTCTGCCACGTTGTTACATACCCGCGTATAACTGTCAGTTTTGGAAAAGAGACATCAACATCCCCTGTGGCGCAATTGGCTAGCGCGTAAGACTGTTAACTTCTGAATTTCACTTATAGTTCCGCGATCTTGAGGTTGGAGATTCAACCCCTCCTGGGGGAGTATCTTTTGGACTCTTAGAGCTGCTTTCCTGTCCAGACATATTTTTTCCCGCTAGCAATGTCGGCTAAATATTTGCGGCAGGGCAAGCGCAAAATAATTGCGAGATCGAAGAGAGATACGGTGGATGTGGACCCGAGTGGTTTCCTATGTACATACGGCGCAATTTAATTAAGGGTTTTGTGCGAAGCAAAGATTGGTTGATCACGAAACCCACGCATGGCGTCTCGCAGAGTAACGTTAATTGCATTGGCCTGGATTACGCGCACTGCGGATGGTAATTGGCTTGCAGGGTTTGAAAAGGAAAAAGTGACCAAGATAATTCGAACAATTATTTTGAGCAACAAACAAAATACATATGAGCACCATTTCTACGAAACTAAAGTCTTCTGTTGTAGAACGAACGGCGTGATTAATGTTGATGGCGATACACCAATGCCACCCAACCCCATGTCAATTCAGATCCTATGCAAGGTACGCCGCACAAATGTCACTAGCCTGCTATCAACATCAACATCGGGGCAGCACATGATAATAGCAACGTATTGTATTAGGACTCCTCCTGACGCTCGGTTCAAGCCTCGTTTTGCGAATCTAACCTTTCAGACCTTGAGATGTCGCAACCACCTTTGAAGTCAGTTCACAAAACTATTCTGGCACCAAATTTGATTTAGAAACTACTGTAACGAGTTGGAAGGACGGAAGTCGTGGGGAGTCGACTTCATAGAGGATTCGATTGCTTCATATTCGATCACTCAGTCAGCGAATTTATCACTCGCTTTATCATTCCTCTCACTCTGTTGCTTGGAAGTCAAGAGTGGCAAAGGTTACGCAATAGTCGCCACCACTCTCTTCTATATATCTCGAATCTTTCTCCTTCTCTCTCTCTCTTCGCTCTCTTCTCTCTGTACCATAGTCTATTCACACGGTTCTCCCCTTCCACATCGCAACACACTGGACAGATGGACGGATAACGGTGTTCCATGGAGCTGACCGTAAGCTGATAGGGCATCTGGCAGGGCATAAGGCACACAACTCTCTTGTATATATCCCGAGTCTTTTCCTTCTCTCTCTTTACACTCTGTACCTTAGTTTATGCACACGGTTCTCCTCTCCATATTCGCAACAAACGGTCGAATATATTCCATTCATAAACGATGAGCCTTACGAATGGGACTAATTCTCAAAACATTATAGAAAGAGTGAGGCCCCTACTGCTTAAGTCATGTTTTTTGCGAAAAGTTTGCGTCCACACTGCCCACTGGTTTCTTCAAATCATGGTCTACATTTTTCACTTTACGGTTATCCAAGTCCCTCAACTGGTCCTTCTGAATATCCGCTCACTCGAACTCCTCACGTCCCCTCCCGTGGATGTCGACCTATGATGTCTAAAATTTTTGAATTCATAAGATTGTGCCGACACCAGTTGAGCACATACAACGAATATATTCCAAAGACGATGGTCTTTAATCCGTATATCACGGCAATACTGTCGGTCGATTCGCCAGTACAGCTGGTATTGGAGAAAGGACCGACAATTATCCAATATCTTCAAATAAAGAGTGGGGTAGTAGACCAACTTGAGTCGTATTCTGATGACGACACTAGAGATGGTCTAACTTTTTATGTCTTTGTCTTGATTGTACATGAGTTGGCACACTATGTCGCTACAGTTGTCAACGACCACCTTTACGTAACACCCCCAGGTGTTGGGAGGCCCATATTCGAATATTCCATTTCCACAGTAGGGTAACTAGGCTCAGCAGCTGAGGAGAAAGTGTTTAGTCGGGTTTTGTATACTGCTTAGGGCAGTTTCACAAATTGCTCACTACATGCCTGGATTGAAGGAATCTTCACCCGCTTAACGTTGTTCCTGACAGAAACACTCGCAAAGGGACTTCTCCACCTGGTATTACCGACCCATTGACCAGGTACGTCATACCAGTGAACATTCTCTTGTGGATTTGAGTATGATAATGATTTTTGATAGTCTTAGTAGGTTCGTCTACTGTTGTGTGTTCCGTTTGTATACGATCTGATGAACAGCAGACACTTAGTATAGAATGTATACCACTACCATAGAATCCATTTGGTTGCCCAGGTGGTTTCTGGTTATTGAAAGCATGCTATGAGGCCAGCTTGCCAACGTGGAGTTGGGCTGAACATTCTATGAACGGAAGGGTGCTCCATCCACAATCGTCACTCGTCACTCCCCTTCAATGGTTTATAAACAAACGGAAGTTTATCCTCTTACGCCTTCACCAAACGACATCACCATCCCTGCAGTGCCGAAGAAATGACCAACAACCCACCATCTCCTAAAGCCCAAGGTAAGGGCCGAGGCCTCTTGACAAGGTCACCTAACACAAATAGGAACGGTCCTCCACAATCAATAGTCCCATCTTATCTAATTCAGTCCATTCGTCAGTCCGGCCGTTACCAACTCGTGGTGCCACCACCATCTAGGTATCGTCGTCCTCCGTCGCTACATAACCATCTACCCATACACAATCCTCCGCCCCTCCACAATTCTCTCCCACTTCTGTTGCTGCCATTGAGTTACACGCAGTTGCCCAGCCACAATCAAACAGAGTCACATACTGCTTTTACTCATTCTCAGATGGACCGAAACCTGCGAGATCAAACCGAGCAGTTCCCTCTTTCTCCCTCTGTCCAGCAACATCCATCAGCGGCAGCATCACAAGTATACATGCCATATACGCCTCCTCAGCACCGTATGGGACCACACCAGCAGGAATCGTCGACAGCAGGTTTTGTTCACCCAGCATGGCGACCTCGACGTCCTTCACCATCCCTGGTTCCAGCGCCGGTGGAGCACCAGCTCCATGTGTATCAGCCCTATTACCCCCATTCTCAGGGTCATTCGACATATATGCATCCAGGAGCTCAGGCAGGCTCACAACATCCACAAGCAGGATTTGTGCCTCCTCATGATCTGGTGGAACAATATCCAGCGTTTGCTCCCTTCCTTAATCAGTATCCAGCTGCCTCCCAGCACCGGTCCTCAAACGTGACGCTATCCCAAACCCTCCCAATTGGTCTTGATGTAATCAAATCCCAGTTCCATCCTTATCACGCACAGTCACTCTACTCGGCCCAACAGCAACAGTACCTTCAGCAGCAACAAGCAGTCATGCCCCCAGGATGGGTTCCGCAACCGCTAGGGGACCTTCCTTCGCCCAAGATGGATTACCGCAATCGTTCGTACACACTCCCCAACACTATGACCATCATCTCCCCGGAGGGCAAGCCGGAAGAAGTTCCCGTTGAATTTCGTCTAGTCGAGGCTGTTAATCCCGATATCGCTCACGGGATCACTGAGAATATGCCGGAGGGATACTGGTGCGGCCGCTTTTCGACCCTGAAGGACCGCATGTTGATGGAGAATCCTCAGTTGTCGTCTCAGGAGCGTGAGGACGTCGTGCTGAGGCGTTTGCAAGCAAGCTGTGCTAGCGAGGAGTCACTGGCTTCGTTCAGGGATTTTTCCAAGAAAGTCACTGTGCAGCAGGCTAGGGCGAGGGTGTTGGAGGGAAAGAGAGATTAAGAAGGCGAGAAGATTAAGCGTTTGTGTATACACAAGGTGGTTTTGAGAGGCAATCAACCTTGGGGACTGTTTTTACGTAACTGTTGGTTGGTGGGAATCGGGAGAGCAATTTGGGAGTATCAGGGGCTTTTATGAATTGCAGTTACTTAAGTTACTACGTACATGTAGGTACGTAGGTCTTACCGGGCGATAGATTTCCTGTTTGTTCAGTTGTTACCTAGCGAGATTTGAAGGCAAATAAAAAAGGTATTTGCTTTGTGGAGAGCTGGCTAATTGAAACATATAAGTATCCCGTGATAATTCAACGCTGGGAGGTATATTTGGACGGCTTCGAAGCTTCATTCTAAAGAGTTCTCAAATATGCATATATTCAATCACGTTCAACGATGCTAATAGATTTGTCAATATTGTTGAAGCCGTACAGACGGATGGAGGAGAAGCTCGTGAGAATTAGAATATCTAAAGAGAGAGAGAGAGAAAGAGAAAGGAGAAAAGGAGAAATGATTAACTACTTCTCGTGAGTCATGTGCCATTCGGCCAAGATGCTATTTTAGATGAATAGATGCCTGATTGTGATCTCTAAATCTATGTCAAAATCAATGGTCTATATAGAGCATACCATACAGTCTAGAACTTAGTGCTTGTGCACTATTACCATATGCATTTCTTTGTATCTTCATATGTTTCATATTCTCATAAAGTGTTGTCAACCGTCCCGTCCGCCCGCAATATTTTCAGGACGGACGGGACTGTGCCAAGGCCGTCCGTCCCGTCCTCGCCCGTTCAGGACGGCATGTCGGCCGATGACGGCCGGGGACGGCAAAAATACCGTTATCGAGCGGTTACTATTAATACATATACTGTAACTGTAGAGCGCGCGGCACAAGATATAAATGGATTTATCTATATTTCTAGACTCTCAATCAGTAGTAAGTAGTAAGCATTCAGGTTCAGTTTGAGCGCACGGTTAGAGATATAAATACAGCTTGATTTTTACGCAGCTAAAGTATCAGCGCTCATATGGGAGTTGAACTCATGAGCATTCCAGCTATGTCTGATGAGCCAGCGGTTATTCAGCAGTGCAAAATTACTTATCAGTGATCAGCGAAACCGATTGGGTGATGATATTATTGAGGCATCAGAAGGCTTGAAATCATGGGTGCAGCAGGGCTTGATATTCGGAACAACAGAGTCAGATATGGTTCGGATGGAGCAGATGTTGAAGGATCTTACTTCACAGTCAAGATAGTGGAGAAATATACTTATTGTAACTGAATATCTATTATGTTTGATGACCCGCAAATCATCAATGGATGTCGGCCGATGACGGAAATTTACCGTCAACGGCCGTCCCATCCGTCCGTCCCCGTCCGGCCTCAAAAAAAACGGCGCCATTCCGTCCTCAGTGATGTCGGACGGATGGGACGGTTGACAACAC